GGGAATGTGCCCCCCTCAGAGGGCGCACAGGACCGGAACCGGGTACGCATCCCCCGCTGAGTGCTGTGGCAGGGAATGTGCCCCCCTCAGAGGGCGCACAGGACCGGAACCGGGTACGCATCCCCCGCTGAGTGCTGTGGCAGGCCCCAGTCGGAGTGTGCAGGGACAAGAGTTGAGGCAGAGCATGGTCGGACTCTCCACTGTAGCTGGGTCCTGGGTTGTTGAGCTCTGCACGTGTGAAGTGGTCCTTCGGATTGCCTGAGCGTGTAATAACACAAGTGTTTTCCTTTAACCCTTTCAGCCCAAGACGACAGCATACTAAAGTGAGCCTGCCTTTCTCTGGAGTGGTGTGGACGAATAAAGCTTTCTGTGTTTGATGCTCTTCTTTACTGTCGCCACTTGTCTGATTGCCGGACCCCAGCTCAGGAGTTGTGCTCTATCCTCCGTTTCTGTGGGGTGGGGATGGCGCGTGGGTTTCAGAAGAACTGGGCACCCATCACAGACCCAGGGGGCAGTGCACAGATGGGCCGGGAACACAGAAATTCCGTCACCTGTTCTCTGGGGTGTCCGACTGGGGAGCCCCAAAGGGAGCAGTTTATACCCCACTCAGCCAGCTTGGGTATTGCGGCTGCTGCTTGGTCTTCACTGAGCCCAGACCCTTGATGGGCAGTGCAAATGCCGGGGACCTGGATCTTCATCCCCCTCTCGGGGGGCGGGGGGAGGAAGGCCCGTGGGCTTTTGGGGATCAGGCTGGGGTGCTGCGTAAAGCTCTGTAGTGGGCTTGGGCTCTTGCTGAGCTGACAGCCAGGTTCTGCCCCTCCTGGCTGAGCTCTTCCAGCCTCTGAGGCCTGGTGTTGGAATGGTGCTGTTTCCCAGCCCTAGGTCTTGAGCAAATTTCCCTGAGCCCAAGTTTTGTTGATAAAATGAATTCATTTGCAGATGTGAGGGGGAAGATGAGAAGCAGTGGATAAGCACTTTAAACCCTTGGTTTTAGTTCAGGTGAAGGTTGCATGAGCCCAGCTCGGTTCCCTCAGGTTGGCTGGTGCAGAGTCCCTTGGGAGGATGGCCTGGCCCTAATCATGGACTGTCACCAGGTGTCCCCGCTGAGATGCGAACTGCCTCTTTCCTGTGACTGGATGGCTGTGGGGGGTGGGTCCTCCCTCCCCATTCTCCCCTCAGCACCTGCTCCGGAGCTCCGGAGCTCTGGAGCTCTGGAGGCGGGCTTGAGTGGCGTCTGAACTGGCCTTTCCACAACCAGCCCAATCAGGCAGCTGAGGTGTTTGCTGTGGGGTTGTGTGCAGTGTTGGGAACAAATGATTTGGAGCTCTACCAGATAATGAGTACCTGTTTCACATGTGAGCCTTGTGTTTGGGTCCGGCTGTGCTGGTGCACAAACACTAAGGGCTTGGGCAGACCTCAGCCGTGGCAGTGTGCTCCCCTGACCTCCATGCGGAGGGCTGTTACGTGTGTTTTTGCTCAGGTCTCTCCTGGCCTTGACCTTTGTGGCAGAATTTTCCCATGGGCCCTACATGATGTGCCCTCCACCATAATTTCTGCTGTATTAAAGAAAAGGGCAACTTGTTTTCTTTTTTTTTTATTCTGAATTTCTGGTCATATCTCCTAACCAGACAGGCAACAGCATCTCTGTATCCCATCTACCCAAATACACGTAATACGTGTGCAGGTGGGTTTCAGCCAGTGCTTTCCGACTCGCAGTTCACAGACCCTTTCCAAACATCTCTGTGGCATTGCTGTGTACCCAAAAGATGGATGAGTGTGAAGTACGGTAAACTGTGTATTCATAGTTGACTTTAGTTTATAAAAACATAAATCTTAAAAAAATTTCAAAACATCCAAAATTGTCTTCATTTTCTTGGGCTTCTTAAGCTCCTGTAGCAAGCAGTTAGAGGTGGAGTCCCAGCGGGTGAACAGACGGGCGCCGTCAGAACACACGGACCGGCTCACAGGATGCAGCAGGTCGAAGACTTGGGTGCGGGGTCACCGTTGCAAATCTCTGTGCCCACTGCAAGAGAGAGAAGATGGTGAGAGGGCTGTGCACCGGCCCCGCCCCTTCTGCCCAGCGGCCTCCACCAGCCCCGTGGGAGGAAGGGCAGAGCGTGGGGCCTGTGGTCAGCGTAAGCCGATTAGCCGGGGCTCAGCCTTTCTTGCCTTGTCCTTGTGACACTTTTAGTTCTGGCCCCCACAAACCCAGAACCGTCTGGACACCGGTTTCCTCCCCACAGCAGGAAATAGCAACAGAAGTCCCAGGGCTGAGGTGGCCACGCGCAGGCAAATACCATGGCAACAGCATCAGGGATTCCATGTGGGGGTGTGCCGACCCCTCAGGATGCGGCCACGTGAGCCACAGTCCCACAGCAGGACGCGGGGGTGGGGGCTGAGCAGGTAAACCAAGGTTGTGACACAGTACAGGGAAAGGTGTCATGTACGCTTGACTCAGCTCACTTAATTTTTTTTAGGTCTAATGTTTTTGTTTTGTTTCTGTTAAGATTTTATTCATTTATTTGAGAGAGTGTGCACGTGCGCACAAGCAGGGCGAGGGCCTGAGGGAGAAGCAGGCTCCCTGCTGAGTGCAGAGCCCACTGTGGAGCTCGACCCAGGACCCCGAGATCATGACCTGAGCTGGAGTCAGACGGGCGCCCTTAGGTCTTCTGTTTGGTTTCTGAGGGTAGATGGAAGTGGAGATTTTCCTAAGTTAATTAGGAGAAAACTGCTGCCTGGTGGTGGGAGAAAGAGCTGCTGAGAGTTCCCCATGTTTCCTCCCTTTATCAAGAAGTAACATTCAAATAGTTACTTGGTTAGAGAAAATGAGAGTCTGGCGAGGAACAAGGAGACCCTGCAGTCCGGGCTGTTGACTGCGCTGTGCCCACAGGCCCGATGCCTCTGCAGGGAGGAACCCAGCTCACCAGCCCTAGCGCCTCTGCCACCGGCCTGTCCGCCAGACTCGGCTCTGGTTTGGCCTCCGTCCCTTCGCATACTTCCGCGCGGGGACTAACCACGTGCCCGCCCTTCGCATACTTCCCCATACGCGGGGACTAACCACGTGCCCGCCCTTCGCATACTTCCCGCGGGGACTAACCACGTGCCCGCAGCCCACACCTTTCTTGGCTGTTGTCTTGTCTTCCTGTTGCTGCTTCTGCTCCTCCAGGGCCTTGACTTTGGCCTCATACTCGTCAGCCAGGGCCTTCCACTCCTTCCTGTTGTTCTGCAGTCGGTCGAACATGGGCAGGATCTCTTCATGGAAACGGGAAAACTCCTGGACCGGGAAGACAGGGAATCAAGAAGTCGGGCCACACTCCTGACTGTTCCTCGGCAGCTGGGGCAGGTGGCCTCCCCACATCCTGGCCCTTGCTGGCACCAGCCTGTCCCCCCCACACCCTGCCCCGCTCTCAAGAGGAGAACCTGGTGGGGGGGCGTCCTGTCTGAGGGAGAAGGGAAGGCCACTGAGATGTCCCTTTCCCAGCAAAGCCCAGGAAACGGAGGAGAGGGGATGGGGAGGGCACAGATGGTCTTAGTGGGGCGAGGACCCCAAGAATGGAGTAGAAAATATCGATGGCAGAAGGGGAGTCCCTTGGCAGAGGGGGTGGGAAGACTTGGGCAGACATGCCGGCCTTGCAGCCCCTTCTCTGGTCTCTTCTACGTACATCACACATACATACACCCACAAACACACACGTGAGCCATGGAGTGTGTGGATGGGCTTGGGGAAGGCAGTGAGAGGGGAGCGCTGTGGTGGGGCTGCGACCTGTGAGCTTCAGGACTGGGCTGTCCATCCCGGTCCCGCCTCCCTTCTCAGCACTTACAGCCCCACTGAGGGGGCAGCAAAGGGCGCTGGGGTTTCAGTAAGGGGAAGCCCAGGCACCGTGGCGGTCAAGGTGGGGAGTGGGACTGGTCCAGTCAGGGGTAACTTTACTCAGAAGCAGACAACCTCCTCCTCACAGCCCCCAGGACGGGATGGAGTGGAGCCCATGGGCATCACTCGGGAGGGGCTCTGCAGTCAGACCCCCCGACACACTCCCTGAACGGTCCTCTGGGCTATGATGTCACAGCACATGCATCCTCGGCACAGTGTTCCCTGGTCTCATGTGCAACATGTGTTTGCTGGGTGAGGCATTCCCAGCTGTGACGGGTGGACCCATCCCTGTCCTCCTGGGTTCACAGGCACTGAACAAAGGCACCTGCAGATAAACTGCAGGCCACGAGTGGGGGTGCCCTAGATGGGGTTTGGGGAAGGGACATGTGAGGTGAGGCCTCATGGTGAGTGGGAGGACCTCCCAGAGGGTGGAGACCTGTGGGAAAGCATGAAGAGCTTCTGAGGAACTGGTTAGGGGAAGGTGGGAAGGGACTCCTTGGGGTGACACTGAGGATTTCAGATTTTAAGTACAAGGATGAGATGGGGGCTATGGCAGGCCAGGCCATTGGGTGAACCCACACCAGCAAGCCCCTTCCTCCTGTGAGCCTAGCCAGGCCCCGCACCACCCTGCTCACCTTGTACACGAATGTGCACACAAAGTCGATGAAGCCAACCTGTAGTTTGGGGAGCTCCGCTGCCTTGTTCCGGTCCATCATTGGCTTGTGGGGGGAGCAGAGATACCTCCTCTGAGCCTGCAGGACTCACTCAGCCCCACCTAGCTCAGATGAACATGTCCACAGAGACACAGATGAAGCAGTGTCCATGGGATGAAGGTGGAGCCTCTGGTCTTGGGGCTTAGCCTGCCTTGATAGATGCTGGCCCTTGAAAGGGGGCAGCCAGGATGCCCCTCCCCGCTCCGAGCCATCTGGTAGTTCCAGGGCTGAGTCCACCATGAGGCTCCCTAGTTTCAGGTCCCCTGAGCCCCTTCCTCCCACATCCTTGGGAGCTCTCCATGGTGCTAACTCAAGACCTGGCATGAGAGCCCTGTGGGGGCAAACTCCAGACGCCCTTGGAGGGGCTATCCTTGGTGTCCACATACACTCCAGACCCCCTGAGCTGCTCCTTGCAGGTTTATCCTTCATAGCTACCCACTGTCTGGAGCTCCACGTAGCAACGGTGAGCCATGCAGGAACTAGAGGCCTGCCCTGTCCCCAAGGGACCTGGCTGGTTGGTCAGGACACCCTTCCCTGCAGGCTGTCCCTGGCCCCAAAGCCTTCTCCACGCTGTGATCAGGCAGCTATCCACTGACTGGAGTTGACTTGTAAAACAAACCCCCTTTCCATCCCTTCCACCTGCTGTTAGACATGCTCTGCTGTCCTTGTCCGCTTGGATCCTATGCAGGTGCCGTGGTGGTCCAGCAGCACATCCCTGGCCCCACATTGCTGGCCCGAAGATCTCAGCATCTCCCACCTATCATGGTGGGGGCCCCTGGACTCCAGCCGCTGGCCCTCT